TGTCTTCTTTTCCTCATTTTAAACATTGAAAATAACAATAGTACCTACCTAACAGGGTTCTTGTAAGGATTGAATAAATTAACACACTAAATCATTTGTCTGGCACCTGATAACCCATTAACAAATGTTATCCATTATTATTATTATTAAACTTGTTATTGTTATTATTATTGTGGGTCAGGCACTCTGCAGGGGATATAATAGAGATCGAAATAGAAAAGAGATATTTCCCCAAATGAAGGAGAACAGTTTTTCCATTTTAGGTGCTAAGGAAATTGGGTCTAAAATTGGGACTCTTGTACTTCTTGGTCAGCAGTTCAAGACTAGGATAAGAGACTTGAAGACTGTACCTCCAAGATGGTGTTACCAGAGCCCTGTGCTCCTCTTCTGAAATGCAAACAATAGCAGCTATTGTATATTCAGTGTTTACTCTGTACCAGGTAGTTTACATAAATGATCCAATGGAATCCTCAGATGAAGCCTACAAATTAGATATTGATATTTGCATTTTGTGGTTGAGAAAACTAAGGCTCAAGGTAACTTGCTCAAGGTCATACAGCCAGCAAGTAGCAAAGCTGGGATTTCAATCCAAGTCTGCCACAAGAACCTGATCATTTAACCACACATTAGGCTTGTTTGTTTTATTCCACTGTGCTAATAATGTCGAATGGCAATGTTTACTCAAGCAAAGTAAAAATGCTAAGTGACTAATACTTTGATTCAAATAGATTTATTGTTTTCCTGTAATATAGGAGGTACTAGGCCCTTATGAGGACCTGTGAAAACAGAATAATAAATCAGAATAGAGAGACTTGAGGGGTGGGGACACCAGTGATGAACATCCTAATATGGTCTCAGGATTATTGGTCAAGGATTATAACTTTGTACATTTATATTTTGGCACAAATTAGACTTCTGAATTTGGGTTTGATGCCTGGATTCTTCCTTTTTAATTGTATTCCCAATGCTTGTTTTCAGTTAAATTCCATTGGCCACAAATGTATATGGCTGGAACACACATTTTGCATATTTTTCCAAATGTACCCTTATTTGATTAAGCAAAGGAAATCCATTGGATTTCTTAGCAAGCTTGGGGACCTTATGCTCCTTAGAGCTATTGTTTTACATTGCTCTAAATATAGGTACCTGGCAGGGGGATGCTAAGCTGCAGCAGATGTGGTTAGGAGGGAAACATTCTAGAATGGGGCCCACCAAACAAGGCAGTTAGAAAAGGTGGTCTGCAGCTCACAGTGGCGAAGATTGTTCTTCTACCCCATTCTGCGCAAAATAAGTGTATTGTGTTTGTGTGCCTCAAATCAAATACATCGGTCTGTTATCCATCTCTTGACTAAGCCCAAGGGCTGAGATCATGCATTATTGGAGGTACTACCTTTAATAACAAGAATTCAATTACCCTTTGGTTTCTTGATCTGCGCAGGTGCCTGACTTTTTGTTCAAAATTGATGTTGCCATTTTGTCCTTCAAGTGATGGCTTTTTTCAAGCTAGGCACGTTTTAATGTACACTCATGAGCACAAAATTATCTGGGAGCCGGTTTTGTGTCTTCTCAGACACAGTAAATCTGAACTGATGGTAGTCAACTTAACAACAGCACGAACCATTATAATGAACAAATTTAGATATTACTGCTCCTGATCCAGACCTTATTCTCTTGGATGAAAGCTTTGAAAGCCTAGGGTAGAGCTATCTAAAGTCATAGAATAAAAATCAATGATATGTTTTAATTATCATTCTTAATTCATTCTTTCAGGTTCAGGTATATATGGTAGGCAAAAACAATAGGCTCAGTCATCAGTGGTCTCACCATTTTGGACTGTGATGTCAACAAGGTCACCTGTCTAACAGAAGTTCCTGCCAATTCTGTCTTACCTTTTTGGAGCAGTAGTGAGAAGCTGGGATAGAGGCCTGTAGAGAATGCCTCTTCTTCCTGTGTTCCAACCTTTACCTTTTCTCTTTCTCATTATTTGTGGCAAGTGCAACTAGAGACTTTTTGTGAGTGATGCTAACAGAGTGTGCCCTTCACGTATGGGAAGAGGCAATTCCCTTTGCTGAGGGCACAATGGGTGAAACAGGAACTCAAACCAATTACAGCACACTCCAAGGCCTGGAAGTGACAGTGGGCTATTGTGACAGCCCCTCTTTTGCAAGTGAATGCTGTTGCTATAGCTATGCTCTTTTCCTCTCTACCATATTTTTGTCGCTGTGAGTACATGTGTTGTCTAAGCTAGATAATCCTGAAGAACAGGCTTCAGGTTTCTGTCTTCTTGGGGAGTTTCTGTCAGTCAGCTCCACTGGGTCAATCTGAGAGCGCAAAGGCCTGGACAGCCTGGCCAGCTGAGAACCCAGTGTGTTGGATGAACTCAGAGGTGGGATTGTTGTTTTCGAGTTTTAATCTTCACTTTTGGCTGCAGGTAGATGCAGTTTCTTTCCCAGAAGGTTCTGTGCCTTTCAAAATAGAACACTAGTATTCTGTCTGCTTTTAGAAGCTTGCTGCCCTATTTTTTTTTTCACTTATTTGTTTTACTAGTATTGATTTTGTACTCCACTTTCCATCCTTCACTTACTGTCATAACCTACCAAAGCCCCCAGAAAACACTCAGGGTCCTGCAGAAATTCCAAAGACAATCAAATGGAACATCTGAGAATGTCAGGAAGGGGAAATAGTGAAAATCTCTTAAGGGAGCTCAGCATGTGCTAGGTAACTAAGTGTGGATACCTGGTGGCAGCACATGTCATCCACTCATGATCTGTTTCTACAGAGTACATCTTGAGACAGGGTGGTGAAGAAAGATCATTGAAATAAAACTCTCTGGAGACTGAGGTATTGATTTCTGCTCCGCTAGTAGTTAGCTCTGTTATGGGGGGCAAGGTTTTTGGCCTGAACAACTAGAAGAATAGAGTAGCTATTAACATAGACTGAGACATTGTAGATGGTTCAGAAGTATTTGGGGTGAAGATCATGAGTTCAACGTTGGGTATGTTAATTTTTAGCATCCAAGTAGAGATATAAAAGTAGGCCATTGACTATATGAAACGGAATTTAGGATAGAGGGCTGAATTGGAAGTATAAATCTGAGAGTTATGGCATAGATCTATCCAGTACTTAAAGCCATGTGAACAAAAGAGATCACCAAGGAACTTAGTGTGGACAGAGAAAAGGACCAAGGACTCAGCTGTGGGGCACTTCAACATGAAGAGAGAGGTCAGTGAGATGAAGCAGAACCCTTATACAGGCTATAAAAGTAACTACAAGCTAAATTTGGCCCCTGGAATAGACCAAGTGTTAGGAATTTCCACAGGAGTTCAGATCCAGAAGGGACCACAGAGGACATATATTTCAATCAAGAATGCTAAACTGAGAAACAGGAAATGTGGATTTTACTCCTTATTTTATGCTCAGGTCGATGAATTCGATAGGTCATGTAACTTCTCTGCATCTCTCTTTCTCACCTATAAAGTTAGATAGACAAGATGACTTCTAAGGTTTAGACATTATGATTCTGTATTCTCATTTCACAGAGGAAGAAACTGAAGCACAGAGAAAGGCGATAAGTGACTTTCTCAAACATTCCGGCATTGGGCACTAATGACAGGACAGGATACCTTCTTCTCTACTGATATCTTAAAACCATGCATGAGTATTAGACTCTTTGGGGAGCTTTTAATAATGCTGATTGCTGGGATCTCAAACTAAATGCACCTTTTTTTGTTGGTCTTGGTTGGGTTTGGCACTGCTATTTTTGACACTCTTCAGGTAATTCTAATGTGCAGCTAGAGTTGAAAACCCCCATTCTACATTAACAAGACATGGCAGTGTCCAGCTAGCTGCTACACCTCTCTGTATCTTGACTTCTATTTCCAACAAAAAATGATTCACTCAATTTTAAGCTTTTTTTTTCCACACGAAGGTTGTTACAGGAGCTTAGCTTTCTAGACCTTGTGAAACCAAAGTAACAAGTATCAGCTTTCCCTGATGCTCAGTAAAATGGCATGACCATAGCTTTCTTGAACTCCATCCTAGAAGTGAAGTGACATGGAAAACCATGAAGCCATGGCAGCGTGTGTGAGGGGCCAGGTGGGGGGAGGTACAGAGAAGAGAGGAACTGTTTGCTCATCCTCTCTACTTTTTGGAAAAAAGATACAAGATTTGTTCCAAAAATAAACCTACAAGGTTAATGAGCAAGTACATCTGTTGCAGTATACAAGAACATTGTTGCTTTTACCATATTTATTTAACCGGCATAGTTATGCTATCCACCCTAGCAGTCTTACTGTTTTACAGTGGCTTCTTGCTGGAGCTTTGGCACTTTGTACACCAATAGGTTTTCTGATTAAAACTCACATTCTCTATACTCTAGAAACTTTTGGCACTAGATAGTTGGGTGTGTATGTGTCACGGTGGATGTCTGTGTGTGCATACATGTGAGTGGGTATGTGTTTAAAAGTGAATTCTAATGTTTGCTTTCTCTGGGGAGCATGTGTCTAGAAAAATAGCCATTTTGAGCTAAGACAGGATACAGACATGGACTGTGGAGAAACATAATTTACAGTCTCTCCACACACCTACCACTCTAGTAGTGCCAGCAAAATGATTTTCCCACGCACAGTGCACCAGTAATTAACCTGGTATATTTCCTTTGAACTCCCTTTGTTTATTCTATACTTGTTTTCTTAAATGCCCTTTATAATTCTAAATCATTTTCTTAGTTTAGGAGCATAAAAATATATTGTGTATGACTTGGTTTGCTCATAAACTTGTCATATTTGATATATTTAAAGATGTGACAGCCTGGGGGAGAAAAACAGAAAAATTCAGGGGAGAAACCAAGCAAGTCCTTAGAAACAATTTTTTCCTCTGGGTCTTCATAGCTCTACTCCACTCAAACGCGCAGCCCATAGTAATGAACACAGGCTTGGAATATACTCTGAGATCGCTCTAGGGCGACCAGGGCTCAAGATAATTGTAATTTTTAAAAATAGGTTTCACCGTTGTTTGGAACCATCTACAATTCAATTTACTTTATCGCAAAAGCCATGAATAATGCTATGAAAGAAAATGGACAGGCTGGTGCTGCCAGCCTGGTTCAGCATTCCAGAAACATGCAGTTCTATGGATTCAACCAGTTGATAAGGACAGATTCAAATGGAAATGGAATTTCAGAATATGTAATCCTGGACACCAACTGGAAAGAATGGGAACTCCATAGCACCTACACAGTGGACATGGAAACGGAGCTGCTACGTTTCGGAGGGACCCCTATTCACTTCCCTGGTGGCAGGCCCCCTAGAGCAGATGCAAAATGCTGGTTTGCAGAAGGGAAGATCTGCCATGGAGGTAAGGAATGGAAAATCACTAGTCAATGTGGCTCAGCTTGGGTTACAAGGGAACCTCTTTAGGAGAAGGCATATTTTAATATTGAAACACTCATAAAATCAGTCATTTGCATTAGGGTGACATACACATTTCTGGCACTCTATTTAATTTAAAATAAGAACAATGAGAGGTACTTTTTAGCCTTGAATTATCCACAATTTAAAAGCCTCCCCACTACTCTCTTTAAAACGAATCTCACTCTTTCCCAAAGAGGTTACTTTAAAAAGAGGAAGACATTTGCCTTCTTCTTGCTCTTTTGTAGGCTATGACCTACGATTGTTTCTCCTGCTTTCAAGGTCACCTATCCATCCCTTCATGTTTCCTATTCCTGCCAATCAGGTCCCACCACAGAAATACCATACCTATGCTCTCTCCTCTCTAAACTCCCATTGAAACAAAACACAGCTTAGCACAAAATTGCTTTTCAATTGTTTCTTGTGCACTGATTGTGTCTCCACCCCCACTCCCAAATATATTGCTCCTTAAGGGTAGGGACCATAGCTAATAATTCTTATGCTGCCCAACACGGTAGGCATCCAGTAAATACTTAGAGTTTGATTGCCTGATGGAACTCCTCTATCCTGTGGAAGAGGGGAAACTTTGTCAAATCTCTGAGAGCCAGAGGGGAACTTTGGAAGGACCCATATTATTATTATGCAATTGTATACCAAACTCTTTTAAAACCAAATGAATCTATTTGAAAGGGGCTTTGATTTTTATTTTGCTTTAGCATGATATGCCCAACTACCTCTTCACTCACATAGTATTTCTCTCAAAAATCTTATTAATCTATCCAAATATTTATATTTTATCGAAGCTAATTTACATTCTGATGAAAACACTAATTATCAAAACCAGATTTACCCCCACCTTGAAGGAGAAGTACTATGTTTTTCATCTACAACTTACAAGGTCTATGGACTCAGGTGAATTAAAAAGGCCTTTTATTTTATGAAGGCAATGTAGTACTTACCCTTCACAGGTGAGATAACGTATTTATTCTTAAGAACTCTATTGCTGTCCAACTTAAATTAAGGTACTCAAAATTTTCCATTCGTGGACGTTTTCCTCCAAAGAAACACTCTGGTCAGCCTTAATTCATGTGATTTGTTATTGTCACCGTGGTGAGTGGTTTTGTTTCAGAACAGTGAAATTGCTTTCTGTGTCCATAAAGTCAATAAGACAGACTGTGCTGAGAAAAAATGGAATTAGGTTAGGTAGATGTGGCTTGATTTTAGAGTCACCAGAAAGCATGAGGAGTCACTCTGCGGTGCCCTTTATTTACTGCCTCTCTCTGATAATGCCATTCTTCCTCTTCCTCTCGCTCTCTGCAGGCATCGACCCTGCCTTTGCCATGATGGTCTGCCTTACTTTGCTTATAGCCCTGCTGTCTATTAATGGATTTGCTTACTTTATAAGGTACATTTTTTGTTCTTTTTGTATATAAAAAATACAAACCCATAATAGCCTTGTTAATATTGATTTCCAGGAAGTCGTTTCAGTACAATTGCCTCATTACATGACCCACTGATTTTCTTTTTTCCATAGTAGTTTACCATTCCTACAGGCCCCATTTAAAGTGAAGTGTTTTCATGATGCCAAGAATAACTTCCTCAGCTGTGCTGCTAATGTTGCCGGTGAATAAATCTGGCCCTGAACACAATGGTGAAATAAGAGAACTAGTACTTCAGGGCCAGTCTACTCCCTATCTTTGTTCTCTTTCCCGCTAGCAGAGTCCCCTATAACCATCCCCTTGCCCAAATGTGTGTGAGGATAGGGAATGGAGTTGAGATATTTTAATGAATTCCAAGAATTAGGCAGACTTTGCTAGAATCCAAGCTCTAGGAATAATGATATGAATTTATAGGATTGTAATGGGGATTAAGTAAACTAAAGTAAGTAATGCACCTAGACCCGTATGTGGCTCATAGGAGGCACTCAATAAATGATAAAATCTGAACCCCTTTCCAGGCACAAGGAACTCTCCTGCTGATTGTTGGAAGCCCAGGATGTTCCCTTTGATACTCAAGCCTTTTGTCCAGGGTATCACATTCCAGATTTCTACCATCTTGCTTGCTTGGACAAAAGTTATCTTGTCTAATCATCAACATGTTTATTATTATCAAGTTTTGTCTTCCTCCCTCAGATCCCTTAGTACATGACTAAATAATCTAATGAGTTATTTCACAATCAGGGATAAGTGGCTGAAGATGGCTTAACATGACACCTTTTTCTTATGAACCTTGCATTTTAACATTTGGACCCTTTCCACACTAGAACAATTGGAGGAAAGTGAAAAATGAAATATATTATAATTATCCCACTTCCCATTGCCACCCTGTGAACCACATCTTTGTCACCTCTTAGTAAGGCTGGTCCTGACAACAGTATGGCATGGATTGGTAGGGAATGGAGTGAGGCTATTTTGGTGAGTTCTAAGAAAGAAATAATATAGTGTATTAAATTGCTGTGTGATCATGGGCAAACCACCTAACTTTTCTTGGCCAGAATTTTCTCATTTTCACAATGAAGAAATTGGATTAGATGATGTTTAAGAGTCCTTCCAGCTCTAATATTTTAATAAGTCTGTGAAATACTGGATTGAAACCGTAACAGGTGTTAGTGTTTAAAATGTTGGCATAGCTGTGAAAAACTTCTATTATCCAATTTCCCCAGTATTAGAAATTTGATAAAGCCACACAGAATAGTAGATAGCCTATGAATTGTTAAAACACACTTGATAAAGACACTAGTTGAAAGGAAGTTTTTCTTTTAATTTCTGTAACCGTGACATATTCCTGATAAGAACAAAAATTTAATACCTTTAACTTTGCTGCTGCCAAACAATAAAGTATTTCATTAACATCATTAGATTCTTAGCAAAAATAAAATCTATCCAATCAAAAAGCTTTCCTCCCTAGAGAGATGTGAGGAGTAACAGACTACCTAATGCCAAAACATCCCATGGCAATGTGGAAAATGGAGTCATTCATTTGTTTATGTTACTTGTCAACCCCCCAAATGACAGTTCTCACTGTTCTTTCCCACTATATGGACTGATTCTTTGGGCTTCAAGTGAGCCTAGTCTGCAATTCTTGGAAAAGGAAGGAAAAAAGGAAAAAAGCACAGCGGGGAGGGGTTTGTTTGAAGCTTGCGGGATGAAGGGTAAAGATTGGAGAGGAAAAGGATTGGAGAGGGACATGATTAGAGAGGAAAATAATTGGAGAGGAAAATGAGTTTGAGACAATTCATACTTCAAGTGGTCACAGAAAACTGAGATGGGAAAGAGGTACATCATTTCCCAGACTTACTTGGTCCTTGGTTCTTGAGCTAACAAAGCACAAAAGATGCCCCCTCTTTGCTGCCTTTCTCCCTCTCTTTGCCCACCAAGGCTGCAATCAGAAGAGCTGAGCGGCTGATGAGATTCTGTAATAGATGGTGATTACTTGCAGGAGAGTAACTCTCTATTCCTTTCTTTTTTGTATGTTTTGATTGTTAAAGTTTTTTGTCAGAAAGAAAGATGCAAAGAACGCAACCACCCCAAAACAAAGGATTCTTTGAACTCCTCCTTTCTTCTTACTCCTCCAGAACCAGATTGCATCTCCTTTCTATGAAGCTCTCCTATGCTTTGTTATACTAATGATGATAATGATAATAATGAGCCCTCATACTTTCACAGTGCTTCATGCTTTTCAGAGCACTTTCACATACATTATCAGGTTTGATTTTCAAAACAACTCCTTAAAGTGTGTAATGCAAGGGCTATTATTCTGCTAGATAGATGAGAACACTGAGCCATCAAGAGGCTAAATTATTTATCCAAGGTCACTTCGACCTGGCTAATAAATGACAGAATCTGCACTGCACCCCAGGTCTCTGGATTTGGAGTCCAGTTTGCTTTCTACTAGAGTGTACTCTGTAGCAGGATTATTTTTACAGGTGTGCCTGTTTTAAGACAATTCACCAGACATTTGAAACAGGTAAGTTAGGGAGTGATGCTTTACTTTGCCAAAAGATTCATGTGCTCTACCCAAGAATCCACTACAGGGCTCTTTTAATTTTCACTGCAGGGCAGCAGCTCCCACAGTGATAAGAGACATATTTGTTGGCAGACAATTAGAAACACATTAATTGTTTATTTACAAACCAGTGGAATCACTGAGAAAAACTAAGTTGCTGATACTTAAAGTTACAGTGACATCGTAAACTTCTCCTTAGAGCAGCTTGACAAAGCATTTTGATTCAGTGGTTGTTTTCTCCACCATGGCTCTTGGCTTTAATACATTCCACATAGTAACCATTATGGGGTTATGGAAAAAGCGAAGCCAAACTGTAGCTGTCAGAGCCCCCAAGACAAAACAACAAAACAAGCATACCGACTAATCAAGGTTCCCTCCAGGTCTTCAAGTTGCCCAGTCAGACCTACCCGACTGTGTGAGTAGACATCATGTGTCTAGTAATTGATTTGCAGAAAATAATTACATTCACTGCAAATTAATGGGCATGTTTAGAGAGAATCAGTTTTAAACTGTGTCTGTAATGCTCAGACAAGAGAGCAATTCAGTAAAGGAAGAAAACTCAGTCAGCCTACTTGTTTGGAATCATGTAGACAAAGCAACCAACTGATTGAATTTTTCCACTTTTCAAACTGTTGCTTTGGCAACACATAGATGCAACTTTACAAGACAAGGGGTCTTACGGGCCGAAATCTGGGCCCACAGCCAAGGAGCAAGGATTCAAGTCCCAGCTCCGCCTCAAGCTAGGGGATCTCATGCCAATTTGGTCAATTCTGTTTTGTTTCTCTAATGTGTTTTTGTCTATAAAATGGATATTAATAATTCTTGGCCCTGATACTATTAGGATAAATACTATGGCATATAAGAAAGGGTGTTGAGCTCCTTAAATATATTCAGAGATGTTGTTTTGAATGTGCCCTTGATGTGGGATCACCATTTTATTAGTTTGAGATACCATTCGATGCAGTGCCTTCACAGCTCTCTTTGATGCCTCTTAAGAGCATTTAAATTTTTTTCTTTTGGTCTTTGCAGTTGCAAGTTGTGAGGGCCAGGGTTGCTTTCTTCGTTTCCTGTGGGTACTATGGTAAAGATCCATGTGTGATTATACTCCCAATTACTTCAATATTCTTTAAGTACTATCTTAGGGCAAATTAACCCTGGCTTTGCCAAAACATTCAGTCCCTTGTGACCCTCTGATTTCATGTTTGTTTTAGGCGTCGTATAAATAAAATCCAGTTGATCAAAGGACCCAACAGAATTCTACTGACGTTGGAGGATGTAATGTTTATCAATCCCCACTTTGGCAGTAAGGTAAGGAGTATCACCTTCTTTTGCTGCCCTGTTCAGTATGGTAGCCACAAGCCACAGGTAACTATTGAGCACTTGACATGTGGCTAGTCTGAATTATGATGTGCTGTAAGAGTAAAATACTCAGTGCATTTAGAAGACAGTATAAAAACATGTAAAATATCTTATTAATTTAAAAAAATTTTGAAGAATTAAAAATATTAATTAAATGTCAAAATTAAACATTTTAGATATATCGGGTTAAAGTGTATTATTAAAGTTAATTTTACCTGTTTCTGTTTATTAATTGTGACAACTAGAAAACTTAAAATGACATATGTGGCTCATGTTACATTTTTATTAAATAGTACAGCCTCAGAACAGTGTTGTGGAAGTAAATGCAGTGCACTTTGAGCTGTAGTTTAGCTTTTGATTTTTGTAGTTCTTTGTGTATTTGGAGTCAACATTTGATGGTTAGTTCTTCAAGGGAAGCAACATATTTTTCTAAATGTTAGCCTGACATAATGCTTATAATACAGTAGGTGCTTATAAAAGTTTGGTGAATTAATCAATGAGTGAAAGAGAGTTGGATTTCACCAAAAGATCTTCTCTGGTTGTGACTATAATAGAATTGGTGATCTTCATTAAAGGCCTGTCACTATGTCCTACCCCTGGGGCCAGGCTTTGTGAAAGATGACATGTAGTCCCAGATTTCAAGAGGATTACAGTTAAGTTAGAGATACAAATCATACCACATACGAGAGACAATCAATACCTTGATGTACAAAGAAACTAGAAATGTGGTAGGACTTCAGAGGAGGCAGTTAAGTGGAGGGAGGCTTTTCAGAAACTCAGCACAAAAGCTGAGTCTTAATGAAGGAAGGATAGGGTTTAAGTCACAGATCACAAACTGGTAACCACTTTTGTTTCACCCTCACAGTTATTAAAAAAAATTGGCCAGAAGTTTGAAACTGTAAGATTACATATAAAAATTTGGATTTCTGAGTTTTCTTTAAAAGTTGGAATATCTGTCAACCTTGGATCTCATCATGACTATTGGCTATAACTCAGTAGTAGTTACATTTTGTGGAAAAGGCATACTCTTTGCAGTTTGATACAATTCCCACCACTCTATATTGTCTTATACTCAACATATTTCACCTCTTTATATTACCTGTCTATCCCCATAGGTGTCCTAGGCAGAGGAAACAGCATAAACAGAAGCTTGGAGAAGAGAATATGTGGGGAAGGGTACTATCAAAGCTAGCTAGTGTGTTTTCTTGTGCCAGTATATGTCGCCACAGTAAAGACACTAGTCTGTAATTTATATTACGCTAGTGGATGTAGGAAGAGTATACAAACATGTTATATTGTTTTCATGTGTCATTTACTCTTGGTATGCAAGATTTTAAAGTCCTAGGTACTTTGTTAACCTGAAGGTAGCACTACTCAGCTATTTATGGTAATTTTGTGAGGGCTGATATGCTTTAGCACCCAAATATGGTTTATGTCTCAGTACAAATGAGAGGAGGCATAGGTGGAGGTCTTATAGACTACACTTGACCATTGCAAAACCTATACAAATAAAAGGCTCATTCAGTCCAAAACTGAGCTATGTATATTATTTTAATATGTTAGAGCTAAAACGTCTAGGCAACTGATATGAACAAGCTTTGAGAATCAGTTATGTCACAGTAAAAATGAGAGGAGACGTACAAAATGGTACCAGGTTGGAGAATTAATTGTTATCTCAGTGACCAAAATGGTTGTTTGCCTGAATGTGAAATTGAAAGGTATATTTAATTAGTTAGTTGGGTGAGAATGGATTTACATAGTACTACCCTGAGCAGTTCTAGTCAAATTAATTGTTTAGTTGTTTGATTTAATTCTCAATTATAACCCATATTCTTATTTATTTAAATCATCAGATCTTTTTGTAAGGTTGATATTGTCTTCCTTGAAATTTATTACTGAAAGCCAAAACTGTCACTGTGGATGAAGGCTACACTCCACCCTTGTGGCATAAAATCTTATTGATATTAGTTTCCATTTTTGGAGCCACCAAAGGACCCTAGGACTCATGTTAGTTGAATTTGTCTGGATTTGTCATACTCAATATGTCTTGTATAAAATTTCCTGCCTGAATTAGAAAACATAGATGTTGAAGTACAAACTCTGAAGCAATCCTAATACATAACCCAATACTAATAAAAAAAGTATTCACTTTTGTGACAAGATGTTTTATCCAAAAATGGATGTTCAGTAGTAAAAGTAGATAACTAGAAGTTATTGTCTAAATGTAGCAAGATATACTAAAGTTTCAGTCAAAAGAAATTAACCTATTTGTAAAATCCCTACTTCTTTGGTGGTATCCATGCCAAAATGAGAGTTCATATCAGTTGCCTAGATGTTTTAGCTCTAACATATCAAAATAACTTACATAGATCAATTGTGAACTGAATGAGCCTTTTATTTGTATAGGTTTTGCAATGGTCAAGTGTAGTCTATAAGACCTCCACCTATGCCTCCTCTCATTTGTACTGAGACATAAACCATATTTGGGTGACTAAAGCATACCAGCCCTCACAAAATTACCATTAATAGCTGAGTAGTGCTACCTTTAGGTAAACAAAGTACCTAGGGTTTTAAAATCTTGTTCATCATGATAGATTTTTTTCACTTGTGCATAAATTTGGACACAAAATAAAAAATAATCACTTTTTACCATATGAGTGAGAAAAATGAATAGTAACAGGGCTATTACTGTTACTAAGGTATTGGTATACTGTTAGAAGGGAATGGTAGCCTTATAGTAGGGAATGTTCTTTTGCAAATGAAAAAAAATTAAACTAATGAATTATTTTGTTTTATTTTATTTTTACTATTTTGTCCCAGTTGGAAAAGGATGGCATTACCCCTAGAAGAACATAGCTCTTGGCCTCCAGATCCCTTTCGGCATTTGGCTTGTATCAGAGATTCTGATGGGAAAAGACAGGGGAAGCATACATTTTCCTTAATTGCTGTGTAGTCACAAACTTGCAGCTGGCTGTGCCTAATCAGTCAAGAAGCCAAGCCAGGAATTCCATCCAAATGGAATGTCTGAAAGTGTAAACTTAGTGAATACAAAATTAATTCAGTCTAGAAAAATTGGCAGGTCAGGAGAAGTCAGGTTAGGAAAGGAAGTTTTTGGAAGAAAATGAAGCTGAAGTCTAAATGTATGTAGATTTTGGCCATTCTCTTGTTTCTCCTTTGCCCTTCATGGAGAGGTCTGTATCTCAATATACAAATCTAGGTGCTTCTGCTGAGATACGAAAATAAAGAATGAAAGGGAAGTAGATTCCTCCCTGACCTTGCTCTGTTGGGGAGAGTTCAGGTTGATGCAAAGGTTATGTGAAGAGTCAAGTTTTATGTCTTGTCTGAATTTTGAGCTGTTGAGATTTCAGCACATTGGGGACTGGGTGGAGTTTACCACTGTCTTGGAACTTTGATTGTGATAATCTTCATAGAAGGAGCTTAACTCTGGGCTAACTCAACTGTAATCTTTAGTTGATCAAAGACTTTTAAGGGGTAGAGTGTTGGGAAGTACTTAAGATTAATTTTTATTGGCAAGCAAAGTAAAATAAAGCATAATGTAGTTGTAGAAAGACAACAGGACCAGAAAATACAATACCAAGATTCTTGTTCCAGTCCTTGTGTACCTCTGTAGGTCTTTGTTTCCTAATTATAAAATAAGGATGTTGGAGTTGAGGATGGGGGCAGTCCTAGAAAATACCAAAATGTAACTACTAGCTCTGGATTGCTATAATTCTAAGAAAGGCACATTTGCTGGTATGGAGAATATGAGGAACCTGTTGATTTATATGTCTTCATGTGAAATAAGTCTACTGGTTCAACTGAAGATACAGAAGTTCAATTTTAAAGGTTAACACAGATTGCAGATAACTCTTCCTCTTGTCATTCAACTGTGCAGTTCCCAGCCCTTTCCTACCAGACTTATGTGTGCAAGTGAAAAATCAAGGAAGAGAGATTTGACCTATTTAAGCCTCAAACTCATAAATTATATATAGGCATATGATCTGCTCACTCTCTACCGTTGTTACTTTCTGGGATACCCTCTGCCATTAATCTTAGCTGCACATAGAAGGATGCCATTCTGGATAGTATCACAAAAAGAGCCACTCCTGAGAGTCAGCAAGGTGGGATGCCATCTGGGTCTGCTATTGACTTTTTAAAAAATGTTAATTTGTATAAACAACAATTCCTGTAACTAAACAATTGACTATCTGTATGGTATTAGGAAACCTATTTAGTCTTTTTTTGGTCTTATTTTTTGTCTGTAAAATGAGGGTCCCAGATTAAATTATGACTGGCTTTCTTTCTTGCCCCCATCTGTAATTCTAATCTTCTCTAGGAGATGGAAACACCTTTATATTTTTTGGTGGTACATGGTGGTTAAACAAGGCACCAATCCTGAACTAAAAAAAAAAGTTAAGAAGGATAAGGGACAGTTAATCAATCTCATGTTTACAGGGATAACTCATAGAGTTACTTTCTTAGCAATAAAAAAGAAAATTCACATAAGCTCTGTGCCAAATTATCAGTATTTTGTTCATAACTTTTCTTTCCTAATCCTTTCACAGAGAGGAAGTCGTGCCAGTGTAAGCTTCCAGATTACCTCAGAGGTCCAAAGTGGGAGGTCCCCAAGACTCTCCTTTTCTTCAGGGAGTCTAACTCCAGCTACCTATGAAAACTCCAACATAGCAATTTATGAGGTAAGACATTTAATGGCTGTCTAATCTACTGCTTTCTTGGATTTTAAAATGAGGCAACGATTTAGTAATTAGTCTTTGGGTAAATATACTGGGGCTTTCGGCAAGACTTTTCAGTTTGGTGTCTGTGTCTGCTTATGGATTGTTTGGTTGATATTCTTGGCAATTATTTTCCTCAGCAAAAAATCTACTTATTTATAACTTCACTGATCTTTCAACTCCATGTATTTCCTATGGATGTAGAAAAAAGTTCTTGAGACACAAACACTTAAATATATCATTCATTCCAGAAGTTATGTAGATAATAACAGAAAAAATGATTCCCTGAGTCTATTGTTTGTACTGAGATGTCTAGAGACATGCTTGTGCAGGGCAGGGTTTGGGATACCCTTCTCTTCAAATTCAAATTGTTCTTCCTATGCTTGTTATCCTCTGATGTTGAAACTTTAAAAATTATTCAGTTATTTATTTTTCTCCACCCATTCTGCCTCTTGAAGTAACAGGTTACTTTCTGCTGCTGAAAATAGACATTCTTTTTTATTCCACTGAGCTTTCTGTCTTTCAAGCTTTAAGAGACCACTCTCTACCACTTGATCTAAGATACTGGGATTTGGCAACCAGAACAAATCTTGCATCAGAAGATGAACTGTTTCTTCTCAGCAGGAAAGAGTTAAGCAGGGGGTGAAAGGAAAACTAGACTGCCTTTCTGTTCCTTTTAAGTGAGGCCTTCTCAGTGTGGTTTCCTTGTTTTGTTTGAAGATACTCCCAAGAGCAGCAAACACTCTCAACTTCAAGAGTAACTACAAAGAAAGTCCAATACAGGACAGAATGAGTTTTCAGATTGTCAACCACATTGGATTTTTCAAGTGAATACTCTCCTCCATTAGATAAGTAATTAACAAAGAACCTTGCTACGGTTTGAATGTCTCCCTCTCAAAATTCAGGTGTTGAAACTTAATGGCCAATCTGATGGTTTAAAGAGATGGGGCATTTAGAGGGTGATTAGGCCATGAAGGCTCCTCTTTCATCAATGGAATTAAGGCCCTTATAAAAGAGGTTTCAAGCAGTGTTTGGCTAATTTGTCCTTCCACCTTCTGCCCTGGGAGGACACAGCATTCCTCCCTTCTGGAGGCTGCAGCAACAAGGCAACATTCTTGGTAGCAGAGAGCAGCCCTCACTAGACAACCAAACCTGTTGGTGCCTTGATCTTGGACATCCCATCCTTCAGAACTGTAAGAAATAATTTTCCGTTCTTTATAAATTACCCAATACTAACAGACTAAGACAGAAATTGGTACCAGAGCAGTGGGTTGTTACAAAAAATACCTAAAACTGTGGAATTGGCTTTGGAACTGGGTAATGGGTAGAGGCTGGAACACTTTTGAAGGGAATGCTAGAAAAATCTTGATTTCTGTGAATGAAGTGTTAAGGGCAATTCTGGTGAGGGTTTGGAGGAAGAGATAAACTGTATGGAAAGCTTGATTCTTCTTAGAAATTACTTAAGTGGTTGTGAAAAGAATGACCACACTGATAAAAATATGTACATTTTGAGGAAGTCTTAGATGAAAATGAGGAACAAAGTTGGAAAAGAAGCCATTCTTGTTATAAGTTGGCAGAGAACTTGGTTGAATTATGTCCATGTTCTAGGACTCCGTGGAAGGTAGAATTTATGAGCAACGAATGAGGGTTTTTGGTGGAGGAAACCTCTGAGCAGCAAAGCATTCAGGGTGCTGCATGGCTTTTCTTAACTGCTTATGGTAAGATGGAAAATGTGAGAAATGGCTTAAAGACATCAATTATATTAAAAAACAAGGGAAATAGAACATATAGATTTGTAAAATTCTCAGCCTGGCCATGTGAAGAATGAAAAAACATGTTTAGGAGAGAAAACCAAGAGTGTGACAAAAAAAAAAAAAAAAAAAAAAACCGTTTGATAAGCAGGTTTGTATTGCTAGAAGGAAGCCAGATGCTATTCATCAAGATGATGGGAGAATGGAAGAATGACCCCAAAGGCATTTTGGAGATCTTCAAGGCTGTGTCATGCCCATTACAGGCCCAGAGTGCCAGGGCCTTGAGGGTCGAACTGGTTTCAAAGGAGAGGCCCAGGACACTGACGCAGTCCAGGTCACCTGTGAGATCCCAGGGCTTGCCTCCTGGGGCTGACTCAAATCTCTGCTTCCCATATTTCAGTGCAGGGCTCTTTGGTTTTCCCAGTTGTGGCTCGGATTGGCCAGGGTGTGGCTTGGCCTACTGCTCTGAAAGATGCAAGCCATAAATCTTCGTAGTAAACATGTGGTGCCAACTTTGCAGGCTCTCAGAGTGCAAGAGGTATGGAGGCATGGCTACGTCCATTTAGACTTCAAAGGATGCCTTGGATAACCTCAGGACCCAGGCAGAGACTTGCCATAGGGGCAGGGCCACTGTAGAGAGTCCACACTAGAACAATACCCAGTGAAACTGTGGGATCTGGGCCACCACAAAGAGTCTTTTCTAGGGCAACACTCAGGAAAACTGTGGAGTCAGGGCCACCACAAAAATCCCCCACTAGCATAATGCTTAGTGGGGCTTTGGGGCATGGCCACCCTTGACACCCCAGACCTGTAAAGCCACCAGAATGCAATGCCAATCTGGGAGAGCTGTAGTCATACTGACTCCAACCTGTGAGAGCTGTGGCATAGGTTGCACCCAGTTAAGCCATGAAGATGGAATCCACTAGGGCCATAAGGGCCCAACCTCCACCCCTATGTGTCTGGGACTTGGAACATGGAGTCAAAGATTATTCTGAAGACTTACTTAATGTTGTTTGTTTTGTTGGACTTTTGACTTATTATGGACCTGTTACCACTTTCTTCTCGCCTATTTCTCACTTTTGGAATAGAAATGTGTATCTTGTGCATATTTCACCATTGTATTTTGGAAACACATGATTTGTTTGATTTCACAGATTGATGTAATGATATTAAGATGTGAGGTCTTTAAGAGGTAATTAGGCCACAAGGATTTCTCCTTTGTGAACAATTTTACGGCTCTTATAAAAGAGGCTTCATACAGTCTTCAGCTAGCTTGCTATTCTGTATTCTGTCATGTGAAGACATAGTGTTCCTGCTCTTGGGAGGATGCAGCAACAAGGCATCACCCTGAAAGCAGAGAGCAGACCTCTCTAGACAACCATACCTGCTGGTACCTTGATCTTGGACATCCCAGCCTCCAGAACTGTGGGAAAGATATTCCTCTCTTTATAAATTACCCAGTCATAGGTAGTCTGTTATAGCAGCACAAATGGACTATAGGCCTTCAACACCAACATTGGCACGGCATATGTTTGTTCAGTTTACATGAGGGCTTTGACTTAAATTAGTGGCAGGAAATCTCTATATCTTGCCTTGGAATTAATTCAATCAAAGAGGAGATCTGCTTCAAATGTAAACTTGAGGTATTGGGGAATTGTCAGCTCTACTCTCTCAAAGACCTAAGATAGGGTAGTCAGATGGTTTTTGAATGTCAAATGGAATGAGCTGATGGCTTTAGAAATGTATTGACACCTCTGGGATTCTGAAGTAAATCTCAATAATCTTGGTTTTCATCTGAAATGAAGGGTTGAACTAAGTTCTCAAGCTTGCTTTCTTATTGGAATCTCCTTGGGAAATTTAAGAAATCGCTGCTCCCAGACCCCACTCACAGCAATTCTGATTCAGTTGGCATGAGGTAGGGCCAGGTATTGGTATTTTTTTTAATGTTTTCTGATATGTGCAGCCTGGGTTGAGAATTGCTGGTCTAACAGATCTCTAAGGCCTTTTCTGGCTGAATATGCTACCATTCTCTGATTCTGTGGAATAATGTCTTTGTTAAATTGTGGTATGTTTCATTTGGTGAGGCTGGAAGGTTATAATGTAGAATTGCGAAAAGGAAAAAAATAAACATCTGTATGTATCTGGCCTTTAAGAGTCTGTCAGATATTTTCTCATTTTGGAAGGAGGCAGAGAGGTGAGTTAGTTCCCAGAATGACGATTGGTCAGTCAGATCGTTAGTATTTCTAAATGGTGTAGGCCAAATGGGGCCTTTATTTTTACAAAAGGAAGGTGTTATGAGAATAATACCTACAAGGTGAAGTCAATATTAGGCTGATGGCAGGATGTGAAGAAAGGCAGCTGAGGCTAGAAAACTGGCCTGACTAAACAGGACTGATTAAAGAGGTTAAAGTGGACTCTAGGAGGAAACATAAGCCAATCAAATTAGCACATGAAACAAAGATGTTGTGTGTCCTCTGAAATAGTCTTCAATACGGAATGTTTTCAAGAAGACTCATTGTCTAGTTTCTGTTTAAAATAAATCAAATTTTCATAAAAATTATCATTGGAAGACCTGGAATTTCCAGATAATGTGCCTGGAGTAGCAGATACCTAATAGCAAAAGACAGGTTTCCTTAGGACATGCCATCACATTATACTACATTCGCACAAATTCACACTTTTATTGTACACACGGATGCATAACCTTTGAAATTGTATGGGAAAATCAGCCCTTATTTCGCAGGTAGCCTTTGAAATGTGAGATAAAATCCAGATGAGCTGACTTCCAGGCAGAAAGAACTGTGAATGGCAGACGCAGTGGGGACATGTCATGATCTGCTCTCATAGCTATAGTCTGGGTGAGATGGGGTGTGGTGGGCAGAAGTGTAACCCTGACACATTCAGAGAGAACCAACTGAACTCATCTTCCCTCTTCATTTTCTGACTCCTGCTTCCTCTTTGCTTCTCCCTGTGTTTTCCTCTTTGTTTCATCTTTCTCTCTCTCCATCTCCATTCATCTCTCTTTCCTAGAACATTTTTTTTATCTTCTTACCTTCTACATCCCTTGTAGCTCTCTCCCCCCTTCCGTCAACCATGTTTTCTTTTTAATCACAGAATTGCAGATCATCAAAGCTAAAAAAAAACCATCCAATAAGTCCAGAAATCATCTAGTAAGTCCAGAAATCATCTAATAAGTCCAGCTTTGTCAGTGAGGAAACTGAGGCTCAGGCAGATTAAGTGGCTTGTCTAAGGCCACCCTTGAGTTTGAAGCAGAGCCAGGTCTAGAATCTAGTGCTCTCTCCCCTTAGTTAATACACTATGGCTTTAGTTTAACACTGATGGACTTTAAATTACTTCTAAAAAGTTTAGTGAATAGCGTTTGATGTTTCTTGCTCTTAATTAAAAAGTGAGTGATGAGTGAAGTATTTTATCATTCTCTCTTAAAAGAAAAAAGAAAAACAAATAGTGCATGTGTGGTGAAGATAAAACTTGCCCATTTCCTCCCTTTTTCTCATTATTCATGAAGTAGAACGCACACAGACTCAGTAAAAATTTGCTTACAAAGTTTGTGAGAATTATTTAAATCTTAAAACAAACACACACAAATCTCCCAAACCAAAGAAACCCCAACAAGAGGAAAGAGCAACAAAGTGGGAGATGGAAGACCTTGGGTCAGTTTGTGGCTCTGTTACTACCTAGTTTTCTAACCTTGGGAAAGTCACTTAATCTCTTAAGTCTTCGGTTTCTTTATCAAAATATGAATGGATTGGTTAGTGATACCTATGACCCTTTTCAGCTCTCATATTTGTTGATTTGGCAGGAAAAAGCTCTGCTTAGCTGCTTGTGGCAGTTAATAAGCCAGACAGAAGGCTAGCCCACGTTTGCAATAGGGTTGGCTCTAGGAAGGAGGTATCAGTTTCCAGGCACCAGGATTGCGAGTTCTGATGTTCAGTTTATGTACTGCAAAAAGGCACTACATCTAAGAGGGTAATATTCACATTGCAAACATATGCCAACTTATGTGTGAGTGGTATCAACGTGGGTACAGAGATTCTGGCTTCCCAACCTAGTTCTGGAATGAGGTGGTGGAATAGCCTTCTCATATCTGCATCCATACTGGCACTTCCAGCTATGCACATACACGATCACTGGTAAACCCATGTGTAGCTGGGTATGTGCTGTCTCGACTATGCTCCAGAAGTTTCTTGAGGTTGCTTTTCTCTTCTGCCTAATATTCTCAGAAGCCCAATTTCGACTTCTCACTCCCACTCCTAAAGCCTGACTCCAAAGCTGACAAAGATGCTTCACCGGGAAGATAGAGTTTGGTGATATGCAGAGCATCCATGCTGCTAGTGGAATGTGATCCCTGGTGTCTGGGGGATGTGTCCATAAATGAGAGTATGGTACATATATGTATACAGCCAGGGTGTGCTGCCTAACATCACAGGGCTGCCACAGGCTGTGTGATAATATACTTGCAAAGTTAAGGTTTTTTAAATTTGAGAGAAAATACCCCTTTAAACTAGCACAAAGATGCCATAGTGGCCAGCAGTGACCATGGGCCCAGTAACATAGCTGCAAGGTGCTGGGAAGGCTTCCCTGACTGAGAGCAGATTTTGATGAATGAAACTGAGAAGTAAGTGAAGAGAGTATGAGGAGAGTACCACAAATATGAGGGAAAGGCAAAGGCTGGGATGGTGGGTCACAAACTTTCACATGTATTAGAGTCACATGGAGGACTTGTTAAAACAGAGATTGCTGGACTTCATCCTATAATTTCTGATTTCCTAAGTGCTGGGTGGGACTTGAGAATTGGCCTTTCTAACCAGTTTCCAGGTGATGCTAATGCAGCTGGTCCAGGGACCACACTTGGAGATTTACTGGATCAAATGCTTAGACCATTCTGCTGCAGGCAGGCACTGATCTGGGACTACCCTTCTGAACTCTCTGGGCACTGAGCCTGGCCAGTGCAGTTTTTTTTTTTCAGCTGCTGAAGGTCTCTGAGGGCCATTTCCTAGTTAAAGGGCTTTGAGCTCCTTGGCTAGTAAATGCTAATACAAAGTATTGGCAAGTAACTCAGAAGCCTGCAGCTTCCATTAGCTTTTGCCTCTGGCAGGTTTCCAGATGCAATGCCATAGCTGGATATATTCTTTAATAAGAGAGTGGTTACACTCTCTTATTTTTGGAATTTGACTGCACAGAGCTCTCTGCTTTATTATCTCTACTTGATGACAAGTTGGTACAGCCTGAAATGGAATCTCCAGGCTATAGGTAATGGATGTGAAAGTACTTTGAAGAGTAGAGAGCATTGTGCAAATGTAAGGCATTATTACTATTATGGAGAAAATAGGATCTATATTTGTATTGTTTTTAAAAAAAATTCGGGTTGGTCAGAAACTAAATAGGGCTTGATGACTGATGAATCCTTAAGGCTATGCACATAGAAGAAAATTATCAGTCGCTGGTGTTGAAGTGAAACAATAAAATAATTGTTGTTTTTAACTTGACAAAAGCCTTAAAATAGCAGTTTTTTACTTAATAAGTCAGAAATAGACTTTTGGAAGACTCTATATTACTCACATTACTGTGGTAGTACATTGAGTGTTCAAATAGAAAAAAGTTTAATTTAGGTTTAAGCCAATTGGTTTATGACTAAAGCATAAGACAGCCCCCCCCCCCCCCACACACAAATGGTCTGTCCCACAAGAGAAAAATGGATCAAGGTAAATTCAGGAAACATTTGCTGCACTACATCTCCCACCCTACATTTCCCTCCACAGACGCCTCAAGGCAGTGGGAATTGCAGCCACTGACCAACACCATTAATCGCAGAGAACCTGGTGCTACATCACTTAGCTATGAAAAAGTGAAATGACCTAGCGCTTTCTGCAGTTAGCTAAGAGGCTTTGTAAAGAGTGACATCATTCCTTTTCTGGAGTCTACATACTTGCAATTGTTTCCCTGTCTTGAGTAACTGTGATTTTTAAATTTAACTTCTGTGCATGACCTCATTTCAGCTCAAAATGCAGAATGTCTGTGAGGTGGAGGGTGAGAGAGAAGGAAAATGTTTATTTGGGTTGGTGGTATAGCTATAAACCCTTTATGTGGAAGGGAAATTGTTCTAAAACTGCTGGCAACTAAGTTTCATCACTACCCATTTTCTTTTTTTCTTTCTAGGGTGATTGGGTGTGGCTGAAAAAGCTACCCCCTGGAGATTTTGGAGACGTTAAGTCCATCAAATCAAGTGCAAGTGATGTGTTCGAAATGGTATGAGAAAGCTTCATTTATGTAAATTCCCACTAAAATCAATCTGTTCTCCAAAGTAACTAACATCAGAGCTGTTTAGGAAGACACCTTAACAAATCAGTGCAGGGCAACTGCATGGTTGTTACTGGCTTGGTATGATCATATCATGCAATGGCAAAGATATGTGCTCTGGAGTCAAAGAGACATGAAGCACTCAAATCTCAGTTCTACCACTTAAGAGCTGTATTAACTTGGGCAAGTCATATAAATTCCCTCAGCCTTAGTTTCCTTATTTGTAAAAGGGTTACATTCATGCCTATCTTCCAGGTTGGATGAAGATTTATAGAGACAATACACGTAAACCATCTTGCACATTTCCTGGTGCACAGCTTCTTTATCAAGTAGTCGCTATTATGATTATTATCAAGTAAATATCCCATAATCATTCCAAATCTTAATTTTCCAGTCACCTGGTAATTTCTATTTAATATGTGTTTTTTTCCTAATCCCACTAATTATGTTCAAGGAGTCCTTGGGTGGGTTGCTTAAGAAAGCAGCCTGTAGATAAGGCAGGGTTGTTGATGATCCTTCCTAAATCATTTTAAAATCTTGGCTCCTCCTTGAACTGAGTCCATACAAGACTTATGAATGCTGTCGTGGGTTCCTTCAGACTCTTGAAAGTGGGGTTTTAAAAGACAATTATCAATTGCTCTACTTTTATGGAACAGACAATTTCAAATCATTCCAACAAATCTGAATGAGGCAAGCACTGAACAATTGAGAAAACAAAGGAAATGAGAGATATGTGGTCTGTGGAAGATAGGACATGCCCTAGATAGAGGTCAGGATGAGATGTCATGATTTGGTATTTTTCTTACATGTGATTGTAATGCCTGGAGATGAAGGCAAGATAATGAGACATGAGTCCAGAAGGGGGATCAAGATCAGAACTAAAATAGACAATTCTACACTGGTTTGGTAATCCAGGATGCTGAACAGAAATCTAGATCCAAATTAGTGAGCCAAAATAGGCCAAACCTGGGAGAGCTGATACACTAAAAGTATGGAAATAATAAGACAGATATTGGCCCAAGGTAGAGTGTATTAATGACATCTTTTTTTGGGTAGCTTTTAATTTTGACATAATTTCAAATCTACAGAAAAGCTTCAAGAATAATTCAAAGATTTAGCAATTCTTTACATTTTGCCTAGTTGTTTTTTATGATCTATTTATATATATATCTACATTATTTTTCTAAGCCATTTGTGCCCTTTTACCTCTAAATACATCAGTGTGCATTTCCTAAAAATGCTACAGTATAATGATCAAAATCAGAAAATGTAACATTGCTACAATACTATTATCTAAACTACTTCCCATATTCTAATTTTACTAATGGTCTTGTATGATACAGCTTATATTCCCCCAGGTCAGTTTCCAATCCAGACTCACACATTTAGTTGGCTATGGTATTGCTTTAGTTCCTTTTAATCTGTAACAATTTCTCAGACTTCCTTTGTTTTTCATCTTGATATTTTTGAAGAATACAGATCAATTATTTGATGAACTGTCCCACAATCTGAGTTTGCCTGTGTCCCTCAAGATTAATTTAGACTGTGCATCTTCTGCCAGATTACTACAGAAGTTATGTGTCTTTTTCAGTGCACTTTATGAGGAGGCACTTTATCAGGATGATATTGATCATCCCATTATTGGTTACGTTAATGTGACTACTTAATTTAGGTGGTGTCTGCCAAGTTCCTCTACTGATGAGTTACTGTTTTTATCTCATTTTAATTAATATATAATTTTGGGAGAGACACTTTGAATCTATGTAAATATCCTGTTCTTCATCAAAGTTTTACCCAATAATTTTGGCACACATTGATAAATGTTGTATTCCATCATTCTTTCTACATTTACTAGTTGAGATTTTATTGTAAGAAAGAATATTTTCTTCCTCATTCATTCATTCATTCATTCATTTATACTGATATAAATTCATACTAAACTCTCTAATTCTAATCCAGTGACACAGGGTTAATTCTTTTTTTTTTTTAACTTTTCCATATTTGTAATTTTCTTCTCTGACAGTGAAAAATTGCCCTCCCATTATCCTCATGACATCTCTTTATGTGTTCCCTTCGCTGACTTGTGTGATGATGTCAGGTACAGAGTGTAACTCAAATTTAGAGAGAAAGCCAGAATTTTCTAGAATTTGCCATGTAGAAGTGCTCTAATGCTTTTTAGTTGAAGGCTTTTATGAAGCTGGAAGTGAATCTGATCATATTATCACTGTGAGTCCAGCACTGCCTTGACTACTTATGTGTATTTATGACCTTAAAACATTAGGGCTGGGTACCAGGATCCAGATGGAAAGTAAATCCTCGTGAGCCAGATGCAGAAAGGAGCAGTGCATAATGGGATGGATGTCCTTGAAAAACAAATAGCCAAAGTCAGAAGGCCACAGAACTGATAATTTTGAACATCTTTTAAGATCACAACTTCTGCAAAAGCATGTGCATGAAAACTAGGCTGTATCTCTTAGTCTCATGTTATTCCCCATAATGTGGAACAGATTGGCATATTCCCTGTACTCCTTTAAAGGCAAATGGAAAGTATCCTGGAGTTCTTTTTGGAAAATTCTCAGTTGTGAGAGATTCTCTTTCTTTAAAAAATGTGAAGAGGAAAAAACTGCAGTTGCTGTGAAACAAAGTATTTACTTTGTAAAAAAAATGGGGGCCATTCTAGAGCCTCTATTGAGAATATTATCTTCTCTGGAGCCATTTCTTCTCCAGTGGTGGCTGTTATTATGCCTCAGTACCTCAGGATCATGATCATGTGGTGAAATTGTATCCCTTGCTTACTGATGACATTTCCCAAACAATGATTCTCTTGCCTTTGTTAAACACACACTCACAAGCTTTTGAGGTGAATGCCACTCTGTTTTAGCATCTTATGCACCTCCTGTTATTTCCATCTACTCCCCCTGTTCACAACCCCTAATTTACTGAATATTTTGAGATATGGATCATGGTCCTCCTCTCTACTCCAAGACCTGATGTTGTACTGGTGACATCAATTGGACATGGACTGTGGACAGCTATGTATTTTGACTATTTCATTCTTTGCCGTATCATCTTAATCTTCTCTTCCATTCTAGTTTGGCCAAATACTGCTACCATTATATTAATACCTTGTGCTTTTCCATCATCTATAACTGCTACTGAAAATGATTCACCTCCAAAATTATAAATTTGTCACACTCTCTGAATTCAACCTCCTTTTATCCCAACAATGCCCATATTTGACTATATCAGGTCTTCCAGTCTACTGACCTCTGCTCTCTCCAAACTCACAAGTCCCTGTTTTGTGAGTTTCTATAATCTATCATTTGAACACGTTCTTATTAATATTTCTGTCTTTTTGGTCAGACACACTTGCAAAACTCTAGTTCTGTATGATCCCAACTCTTACCTTTCTTCATGCTTGCACTTGAACGGCCAAATATTGTAGCAGAAAGTTATGCAGCAAAGTATATTGTTTCCACTATAAATTCATGGTTTCTTTTCTTTAAATGTCCCTTACCACTACCTCATAATTCCATTATAATTCATTGGTTAATTCACTTTTTATAAACCATACACCATAGCTTCTCCATTCTCTTTGAAGCTTCAATGTCCTTCTCTTTCTCTATTTTTATTATTACTACCCTGGTCCAAGCTACCATCATCTCCCACTAGAGCTACTGTGATTGTCTTTTTTTTTCATAGACTTAATTTTTTAAAAAAATGTATTTCCATAGTTTTTTTGGGGAACGGTGGTATTTGGTTACATGAGTAAGTTCTTTGGTGGCAATTTGTGAGATTTTGATGCACCCATCACCTAAACAGTATACACTGAACCCAGTTTGTAGTTGTTTATCCCTTGCCCCTCCCATCCTTTCCCCTGAGCCCCCAGAATCCTTTGTATCATTCTTATGCCTTTGCATCCTCATAACTTAGCTCCTGCTTATGTGTGAGAACATACGATGTTTGGTTTTCCATTCCTGAAGCACTTCACTTAGAATAATAGTCTCTAGTTCCATCCAGGTTACTGTGAATGCCATTAATTCATTCCTTTTTAGGGCTGAGTAGTATTCCATCATATATATAAAATATATATATATGATGTGATTATATATATATCGCATATATATATATATATATATCACAATTCCTTTATCTACTTTTTGATTGATGGGCATTTGGGCTGGTTCCATATTTTTGCAATTGCAAATTGTGCTGCTGTAAACATGTGTGTACAAGTATCCTTAGTATCATAACTTCTTTTCCTCTGGGTACATACCCAATAGTGGGATTGAAAACTGAATCAAAAGGTAGTTCTACTCTTAGTTCTTTAAGAAATCTCCACACAGTTTTCCATAGAGGTTGTACTAGTTTACATTCCCACCAGTAGTGTGGAAGTGTTCCCTGTTTGGCTGGGTGTGGTGGCCCATGCCTGTAATCCCAGCACTTTGGGAGGCTGAGGCTGGTGGATCACCTGAGGTCAGGAGTTTGAGACCAGCCTGGCCAACATGATGAAACCCTGTCTCTACTAAAAATACAAAAATTAGCTGGGCCTGGTGGTGGACTCCTGTAATCCCAGCTGCTCAGGAGGCTGAGGCAGGAGAATCACTTGAATCTTGGAGGTAGAGGTTGCACTGAGCTGAAATCACGCCATTGCACTCCAATCTGGGCAACAAGAGCGAAACTCCGTCTCAAAAAAAAAAAAAAAAGTATTCCCTGTTCACTGTATCCATTATAACATCTAGACTTGTTTTTGGAGTGGTTTTTTGTTCACAGGAAATTTGAGCAGAAAGCACAGAGAGTTCCCATGTATCTCCTTTCCCCACCCTTGCACAGCCTCCCTAACTATTAACAGTAGCTCACTGATTATAATCATAAACTTACACTGAAACATCATTATTACACAAAGTCTGTAGTTTACATTAAACTCTTGGCTTTATACATCTTGTGAG